ATTTAATGTAACGGGCTTCGGAACATCATTCTTGTAAAAAAATTATATTAATTGAATATCAATAATCATTTGATCAAATTACATTTATATCAATAACAAAGTGTACTTTTTAAAGTAAACTATTAATATAAAATTAATCTAATCAAATAATTATTAATATTTAATTAATATTTTTTCCCAGAATAATATATTTGACCAATGCTTCATTTAAATGGATTTCAATATGAATTATCCACACCCTCCAATCTACTCATGGATTTCAATATGAATTATCAACAACCCTCCAATCTACTCATTGATAAGTAGATTAGAGACAAGTCTGGACAAATTAAAAAAAAAGCCTATTTTGAAAAGTAAGTTAAAAATCACTTTTCAACTTTTAACCCGTTTCTTCTTTCACAAAAAAAAAAAGGTCAAAAAATTTTTAAAAATTAAAAAATTAACTTTTAACCATTTTTCCAAAACACCGAAAGTTTCAACTTTGCAACCATACACAACCTCACATAACATAATGAACTCATCATGTCCTCTCAATGTGCCAATTTGCGCATTTATGGTGTGTTTGGAAAGGATTTTTTTTAGCTTTTTTTGGCTCAAAATAGAACTAAAAGACAAAATATACTAAAATAGTCAATACGACAAAATGTCACATTAAATCCATAATCATTTCACTTTTTTCTTACAAATATCACATCAAACTACAAAAAAATCCAGCTATATTTCTAAACATAAAAATTTTAGCCTCTTAAAATAGTCAAAAACTAAGGCTAAGTTTGGCATCCTTTGAAAAAATCAAAAACCCAAAAAGTCACTATCCTATTTAAGTCACATCATCTTATTTAGGTCACATCACTTCTCTACCACATCACTTCAAATCCAACCCATATTTCATAAAAAGTCAAAAAGTGCACTTCCCTACAAATCAATTTTTACAATTTTTTATTACACATTTTTCAATAAAAAGTCAAAAAGTTAACCCAAACATCCATATTTTCAACCTCAATTTTTAGTCCAAAAAGACAAAAAGTGCACTTTTTTAGTCTTCCCAAACTTGGCCAAAATATACTAAAATAGTCAATACGACAAAATGTCACATAAAATTCATAATCATTTCACTTTTTTCTTACAAATATCACATCAAACTACAAAAAAATCCAGCTATATTTCTAAACATAAAAATTTTAACCTCTTAAAATAGTCAAAAACTAAGGCTAAGTTTGGCATCCTTTGAAAAAATCAAAAACTCAAAAAGTCACTATCCTATTTAAGTCACATCATTTTATTTAAGTCACATCACCTCTCTACCACATCACTTCAAACCCAACCCATATTTCATAAAAAGTCAAAAAGTGCACTTATTTAGAATATCCCAAACAACCCCTAAAATAGCCTACTAAAATAACAACTTTCCAAACGCCCATTATATTTCTCCCAATCATCTAAAATAACCACAAATAAAAGAAAAAAAATTATCCATTGTATTTAGTTTCAATTTTCTAAATTCAGTTTTGAGAAAATTGAGTTTTTTGGTTTTTTTTTTAATTTTTAATTAATAATTTTAAAATTTTAAGTAATTTTTTTTTTTGTTTTTTTAGATACACCTTACTTAGATTTATCTAAATAGTAAAATATTTAGGAAAAAAATAATAAATACACAAAAATATGAAAAATGTATTGAATATATATATATATATATATATTTGGTATTTAGTGATTTTTTAAAAGATTTTTTTCACAAATATTATACTTTTTAAATGTATTCATGTTAGATATATCTAAAAATTTAAAAATCTGCTTAAAATATTTAAAAAAATCATTGAAAACAAATATATATATATATATATGAAAAATAAAAAGGTAAAATTTTTTGAAAAGTATTTTTTGAAAACCAAAACAAAACGGAGATTATCAGATAGTTATACATTTTATCAATCACAATTGATTATGTTTCTGTTGCCTTATTTTTTCTACGAAAGAAAAATATCATAAATGCGAGTGTGTCAATGAGGATTAAAAAATCCTTACAGATTTAATTCAAGCCAACTATCAAACGGTTGTGTTTACGGTTCTTTTGCCTCAATGAATAGGACTTCAAAATTGCCAATTGTAGAGAAAAAAAAATAAAAGAAGAATGAGGGAAACTAAGAAAGATGATTGAGTGTGTTATCCCAGGTAGGCAACCTAAGAGGGGGTGAATTGAGTTATTTAAAAAAATTTACAATATTAAAATTTATAAACACAATATTCAGAATACAAATAAAGAAAAAAATTGAATAATAATTATCAATATGAAAAATAAGAGAAATAGGGAGAGAAAATCAAGCACTAAGATTTATAGTGGTTCGGCACGCCAGGCCTACGTCCACTCCCCAAGGAACCTCCTTGAGAATTTATTTACTATCAAAATAAATTAATACACCACCAAATCTTCACCAAGCTTGTGAATTTTACACAAGACTTATCTATTGAGCCTCACTCAATAATAAATGCCTCACCCTTACAAAAATCTCTCACAATAATGAATAAAAATAAGTGGTACTTAAACCTTCTTTTATAATAATTCTCTCACAAAGAGTAAATATGAAAGTGTAACAACAAAGGTTACACTTAGATCTGAAAGTGAAAGAGCAGAATACAATATACTCAAAATTTTTGGAGTACACAGAAATTTTTCTCTTTAAGTTTTTGATTTTTCTCCACACACAACACTTTTATTTATACTCAAAAATATACTCGTTGGAACAATGACGCTCATTGCTGACGTTATGACTTACATAAGCACGCTCATTGATTTTAAATAGTCAACAAATGTTAATAATTAAAAAGATAAAAGTAAGACTAATTTTTTCTTTTCTTTTTTTGTTTTTTCAAATATGAAGCCACCGTTTTTGTAGACACTTTAATACAAAGTTCACAATTTTCAAAAAAGCAAATAATTTGCTCCATCTTGTTTTATTATAATATATATATATATAACTCCATCTTTTTCTTCTTGTTTTATTATAATGTGATATAATCAATGAAGTGTAGTGTGATATGATATAATCAATGTAGTGTAAAAAAGTTTAATTGCTCACATGATGTATTCTATTTATATTATATGCATTCTATATAATATTCTAATCAAATATTTGCATATATAGTAAAATCCGTTTAAGTAATATTTATAATAGATCTAATCATATATACCATTTTTAAATTTTTGTAGAGATTTTTAACTAAACATAACCTACTACTCTATTTGGATATATCACTTTTGTCAAAAGAAGACAACTCATCAATATTACATTTGTCAAGATAATACAACCAATCAATCAATTTTATCAAAATAATATAATTAATCAATTTTAATTTTTTCAAAAAGTGAATAGTAGAGTTTTCAAAAATATTTTTATTTAAATAATATTTAACAAATATATATATTTAAACAGATAATATTTTGTGTCAAATAATATGTACATTAAAAAATTTAAATTTTTGCAAATAATATTTTAGACATCATCAAAATTAAATAATATGATTAACAATCTCCCCCTTTTTTATGATGGCAATATTTGTATGGATTTGACACAAAATAAAATTAACAAAATATTTGATAACCCTGCAACATATAATTTTCAAAAATAAAATCATATTTTTTCTCCCCCCTTGACATCATCAAAATAAAAGATGAAGAGATGAAACAAACACATTTGATAAAATAATCTGAGTGCCCAAAAATAAAATAATGGCCCTTCGGTCTTGTCGGAATCATTGTGGGGATTTTGGAGCATCTCGAGCGCACAAAATGTTGACAAACAAAAAATTTGAGCAGATATGCATTGAGGATTAGATCGATGGAGTGTATAAAAAGTGACAAGGATGATAGGCAAAGAGACGAAAATATCAAGTGTTGGATAGAAAAATTTGTTTTACCTTCTTGTGTAATCATGTCATTCCTTACCTTAGCCATCAATGATTCGGACATGTATGAGGTGCCTGTAATGCAATCAAATGAGAGCTTACCGGTGGTGCAAGCACACCCCATTCCTGTAAATGAGAGTCCTAGTGTTATTGGTAATCAGAATTATATAGATGCTATTAATAATACTATGACTCTTAGTACATAGGCAATGACTGCAGTTTCTAATATGGCTTAACGATTACAAGTAAGAATACAAGAAAATCAACAATAGAGATATGAGGTGTGCTTGGTAAAACAACAACTGGCTAATATTCGTAAGGAGAAGAGAGAGCTAGAAAGGAAAAATGCGCAGTTGGAGAATGCGGTGCACTATTATGCAACGGTTATAATGCCAAGACTCACAGAAGTGGAAAATAGAGAGAGGCATGTAAAGGAGGTTCATGAAAAATTGTCGAAAGAAGTGAAACGGAAAAAATCTGTGAAGCCTTCTGAAAACTTACATGTAATCGAGTAAATTTTTCTTCTTTTGAAATAAAATTGCAAGCATTTCTCTTTCCCATTTTTTTTTTTTTTTATCTTTTTTATTTATATACATTCTTTCTTTAAAAAAAAAAAATTGGTGGTGCAGATAAGAAGTAGTGCAAAAAAATATATATGTATATACTCCCCTTAAAATTATGCACAGAATATACGCACGCCCCATTTTATTTATTTATTTATTATTATTATTATTTTATTTATAATAGTTGTGAATCTCAAAATATATGAATCTCTCCCTAAATTAATACACTAAAAATTACATAAATTTGAAGAAACAAATTACCAATCTATAATATCAAGGGCCATTAAGATCCGGCCATAAACAACTACACTAAGTGCACTAGCATAAAAAGAGAAAATAAAAATAAAAACAATTTCTTCAGACAAGGTAGAAGCAACCATTATTAAATCTAATAGAGTTTGGAGCACATACAACAAGTAAAAAAATATAACACAGTGCAAAAAGAATTTTAACATGTTGATCGGTAATGACCTTGATGATCGGAGGAAATAGAGAAGACCGTGTAGATCGGTGACGAATTTTTGTAGATCGACAATGGATCTTGATGGATTAGTCACGGATCTTGATAGATCAGTCACGGAACTTGATGGATCGGTGAAGAAACTTGATGAATTGGTAAAGATGGTGATGCAGATTTTGAGTAGAGAAGTGATGGAACTCGGTAAATTGGTGAGGGATTTGGATGGATGATAGAGGATGTTGTGGATGATGGGGCTGGTTGTAGACGATGGTGAGGATGAAGATTGAGTCGGCTGAGGATGAGGGGAAGAAAGGGAGAGCGACAGAGCGAGAGAAAGAGAACACAGAGAGTGAGGGATAGAGCGAGTGCGAGAGAAACGGAGTGGGTGAGAGAGAGAATATATATGGATATAATTTATTTTTATTTTTATTATTATTAGAAATATTTTATTTAATTATTTATTTATAAAAAAATTATTTGTAATATAAACATTATATTGGAGTATTCATCATACCAAGTTCTGTTCTAATATAACAAAATTGTTCTTCATTTAGAGGCTTGGTAAATTTGTCAGCTAATTGACGATTTGTAGGCACAAATTCGAGTTCAATGTTACCTTTGAGTACATGATCTCTTAGAAAATGATGCCTTATTTCAATGTGTTTAGTGCGTGAGTGCTGAATAGGATTTTTTGAAAAGTTAATGGCACTTGTGTTATCACATTTTATAGGAATATAATCACAGTGAAGTCCAAAATCTTGAAGTTGTTGTTTCATCCAAAGCAATTGTGCACAACACCCAACAGCGGCAATGTATTCTGCTTCAGCAGTTGACAAAGCCACTGAATTTTGTTTTTTGCAAAACCAAGAAGTGAGAGAGTGTCCAAGAAAATGACAAATGCCACTAGTGTTTTTTTGGTCAAGTCTACATCCCGCAAAGTCGGCATCTGAGTAACCAAAAAGTTCAAAGGTGGTTCCCTTAGGATACCATAATCCCAAATTTGGAGTGCCAACAAGATATCTGAAAATACGTTTGACTGCGGTGATGTGTGACTCTTTCGATGCGGATTGAAAACGTGCACATATATAAACACTAAACATTATATCGGGCCCACTTGCAGTAAGATAGAGTAGGGAACAAATCATACCTCGATATTTCTTTTCATCTACAAGTTTACCTTGCTTATCTTTGTCGATTTTTATTGATGTGCACATTGGAGTTGCTGCAGGTTTTGATGATTCCATTTCAAATTTTTTGAGTAAATCCTCGATATATTTCGTTTGATTTAAATGGATCCCATTATTAGTTTGTTTAATTTGTAGACCAAGAAAGCAATTTAACTCCCCCATCATACTCATTTCAAATTCACCTTGCATATCTTTAGCAAACTCTTTGCACAAATTTTCATTAGTAACACAAAAAATGATATCATCAACATAAATTTGAACAATTAGCATATATTCCTTTTTGATTTTTATAAAAATTGTTAAATCAATTTTTCCTTTACAAAAACCTTTATCAAGTAGAAGATTCACTACTACAAAAACAATGAAAGATCATACTTTGACAAATGAAAATATCTCACTTTTATTAGAAGTGTGATAAAAAAAATTAGATTGATATTTTAATCACACTTGATTTGATTAAGTGTGATAATATTTATTTTTTATGTCACTTTTCAATTAAGTGTGATTATATATATATATATTTTTAATCACACTTTCTAATTAACATGTGATTAAAGATCACATAAGAAAAATTAAAAATATCTCACTTTTATTAAAAGTGTGATTAAAAAAACTAAAATGATTTTTTAATCACGCTTAATTTAATGAGTGAGATGATATATTATTTTTAATCACACATTTTAAATAAGTGTGATTATATATGTTTATTTTACTACTCTCTCTCTCTCTCTCACACACATACACACACACACACACACACACACAATCAATTCCCAAATTAAACCCTAACACACCCACCCCTTATCTCACCATATTCAACATTTGTCTCACACTCGTCTTTTGCTCCTCCAGTACGCTGTACTCATCTCTTGCTCTTTTACCACGCCGATTGCCATCGTCGTTACCTCTAGTAGCCTTGCCGGTCGCCACCGCCGTTAGTAGCCTTGCCAATCTCTACACTCTTCTGTATCGAACGATTCGACCTCTCTGCAATCTCTCTTTTCTCTCTCTGCACCATCATCACCGCCTTCATCTCTTTCTTCCTGGTAAGCACTCTCTGCCTCTCTTTCTCTGTGTATTCTCTGTGTTCCTATATATATGTATGTTTATATAATCTCCTCATTTTTCCTACAAGAATGAGGAATTTAGGGTTTGGGACACAAGAAGATGAAAATAAGAAAACTGAAGATATCTGGTTGCCTTATATACGTGTTTAATATTATAAATAAGGATATATTCATCTGATTTCCAACAGATGAACAATTTGATTGTATTTTATTTTTATATTTTTTTGATATCGGAACTGCTCATTAGCTTGTTTGATTGGTTCTTGTAATGCTTTTAGAAAATAAATTTGATTTATGATTCCTATTTGTGTTTTACATGATACAAATTTGGGGACTCTGCCTCTATGCCTTCTGATCTGCCCTTATGGATTACCCGAAAATCTATCTGCTAACATATACAAAACAATGACAAGCAAATTAGACTGTATGCTTTATTTAATAAAATAGAATAGATGGGTCATCATTTTAATTTATGAAAAAAAAAAAAAAAACCCCCATTATCAGCAGTCACCTTTCCTCCCAAATTAATCAAGACTTGACTACTGAGTCCTTTTCAATTAACTTGAATTATGTTGTTTCAATCTAAAGTATCAATTTTTTATTTTTTTTTAAGAATGACGAATAATGTTCTAGAATTCTAATATAAATCTTTTTAATTTCTAGAGGCATTTCATGTGGTGGAAGTTAATAGTCCAATTTTTCATGGTATCTGTCATAGTTTAAGGATGTGATACAAACTGCTGCTCTGTTTTCATGATTGTTCAGAGGCCTGAATTCTTATATAAATCTTGTTTGTATGTATCTATTCGTTACTGAAATTATTGGGATTCCATAATTTCTCCAAGATACAATGGTACCATTCTTATTCATTGATTTTCTTTGGGGTTTTCTGATTTAACCAGGTACGTTTAGGCAAAAAATTAAGTTGCTGACATGTTAAATGAATTATTGTGGAAGACAAATTTGTCTATAAAGAGAAGAGCCAAGAAATAGAAAAGGCAGTGAGCGAATTTAGGAAAGCCATAAAAGAATTAGCAAAAGTGATGATTTTATTTATTGTTCTACTTTTGTGATGAGGTAATCAAAATGAATCTGAAAGTTGTGGGCTATTTTAGAAGGGCCAGGTTATATTCTTTCTTCTTCTTTTGTTTTTTGTTAATTATTTTTATTGATGGTGAGGTTAGTACCTATTGCTATGTATTAACTTTTTTGCATGTTCTTTGTGTCCTCTAAATTACTTCTTTTTGAAAACCTTTTACTATACTTGCAAATTCTCAATTTTGCTTCTCATGACTCTGTAAATTTTTAATTTTTTTTCGTTGTTCATGGTCAATCAAAGACTCACAACTTTGGTGTGAATTATGGCATTTCTTGCACAGTCTGTTTTTTTTACTTGCCTTCTTTGAGGCATTTACTTTTAAAGTTGAGGCATTTACGTTTTCAGAAATCACTCTTTTGTATTGTTTACTTTTTGCCTTCCTAATAAATATGTGATTATGGTTTATATTGAGCACATTTACATTGCCAAAAACGTGTTGGTACTTCTTTTCTCTGGTTCTTATTTAGATAATTCTAATTGTTAACTGGATAATTTCTTACCTTTTCATTCAATTCTGTTTTGCTGACAGTGCTTTGAGTTTTCGTGATATACCATTTCTCATAAGTATGACTATGTTTCATGATCTTGTTATTATGATCTCAGGATTAGACACTGAATGTGTGTCCAGCTCAGAAGCTAAGAACTGTTAGTTTCTTTGCTCTACTGTGCTAGCTGTCAATAATCACAACAAAAAAATTCATTTTTTTTGGAACTGCTAGATGTTTTTGGGTTTTGCTTTTGTTTTTCTGTGTTATCTTTAGGATAGTATACTCTGTTTAGTAAATATTTCTTCTTTTCTACAGATCAGTGAGTATTCAAAGAAGAATGTTTGTTTTATCATGTTTTTAGATAAGCAAACACTGTTGAAACTGTCAACAGAGGGGAATGTTCTTGATGAGAGAGTATGTATTGGGTTATGGAGAATAGTTATTGTGAGGAACCTACCCTACAAGGATATGCACAAAACTGGGAAGGTGCCAAAATTTCTATCACGTCGTCTTTTCCCTTCTTCTAGGTGATTCTCACACCAAATTTTGTAGATCACTGGGTTATAGACCTTATTTGCTTTCTTCGTTAACCAACACTAAGATTTCTACTTAACATATCTTTTTATTTTGTGGTGATTTCTTAGGTATTCTATTTGGCTTGCTAGCAAGATGCGACTTCAGACTGATCCGGTGCTAATCATTGAATTCTTTTTGTGGCAAACTAGATTAGAGTATGCTATTTCAAATCATTATACTCGCCATTGTGTTTGGAAGGAGGTACACCAGAATAACCGTCTAAATAAATACAACCACACAGCCATTGATGAACAGTTCAACTTTTACTAGTCTGATGGTCTCACCAAGTTTGACCCTTCAGACCTAAATACTCCTCTTCCAAGTTGGTCATGTCATTGTCTTTTTTTATTTTGGAGTTTGCGTTTTTCCTTATCCGCAATTATTGCCCCTTGATGCTTAAGTGCTTATTTTTGTTTGTCATATGCTTTGCACTTTGTAGATGTGCCTGAAGGTTCATTTATTGTTAGGGCCCATACACCGATGTCAAATTTATTTTAATGCCTTTGGTTTAATGAAGTTAACTGTTTTACATCATGTGATCAATTGAGCTTTGCTTATACCTTGAAGTTGAAGAGATCGAATCCAGAAAGGCCATTCTTTCTAAATATGTTCAAGGTGGGTAATTACTAAAATAAAACTATTCTTTCCATTACATTGTGCTTCAGGGACTGTAATTTACCTATACTAGGAGAGTAATGTGGGAGGCTGATAAACTAGTTGGAATTTCTAAATAAAGAAATAGTGCCCTTACTATTAACTTGTTCCTTCAATCTGCTCATATTTATTGACCTTAAAAACCATACATTTTAGGTGTTAGCCTCCCAGTGTTCTGCACTTGGCTGGTTAGTTAAACGAATTTTCATAATATCACTCTTTGATCAGAATTTCAGAATGCTTTTCTAGGTCATTTGTTTGTTTATTTTTTATTTTTATTGCATTGACAATTCAAATTAATGTGGCTAGAACAGATGTGTACTAAAATAAGGCATTTTGATTCCATCAAACGTTAGAGGTGGTGCATTTATTGGACGCATGCTAGATGAGGCCTTGTATAAGGTTTATTTCATGTTGTGGCCACAATTGCCTTACATGTTCTGTTTGTTATGATAAAGGATACGGACATATGACCCATCAACTCCAGCATCAAGAAATGCGACTATCTACTGTGGATCAGAGATCATGTCACTTGAGTGGGATTGTAAATCAGACTGTTTGGTATTTAATTCAACATCATATGAGTGGGATTGTAAATCAGACCGTTTGGTATTTAATTCAACATCATATGAACATGTTTATTCATTTTCATGTTGGAGGATGATGTTTCATTGTTTAAAACCAGAAATTCATGTTTGTAGCTCTTGTTTGTAGCTGCCTTCTTCCTTGAGCCATTACCACTTAAAGCTTATGCCCCTTGGAACCTGAGGAAGTTTATTTAGCTTTCTTTGATTGCTTGAACTGAAATATTAATCAAGTTTTATCTATGTTTGAGGTCATTTCAAGGCTTGAGTAGGAGAATGTATCTCTTTGCTAAGTTGAGTGCTTATACAGGACATTATATATATTGACTGATCATAATTGTTGCCTTATGTCGTTCTGATATGCCTACTTACTGATGGATTTTGCATGATTAAAAAGTTCAATGCACATGTTTGCTACTATTTATTTAAATTAATGCAGGAGATTCTTTAACTGACACTGTATGGTATGTATCTTTCTTGTAACTAAATCTATTTCTCCATTGTACTGTATATTTTTGTCCTTTAAGTACTATTGTAGTTGGTTAAATTCTGTCTATTGAGGTGCAGCGTTTATGTAACTTACTAATTGACTACTTGTGATAAAAAAAAATTTAAAAAAAAAAATTCACACCAATCCCCATCTTTAATCAATGTTTTTAGATGTTATCATCATACTTGTTTATTAGTTATGTTTTTGGAATATGAATCATTCTTAGGACCTAGTTTTTTTTATAGGCATGGCAAGAGTTATATGGATAAGTTGGGATTTGTAAGCTTAATTGTCGGGAACATGAAAACATGGAAGGCTATGGTATGCCCTTATGTGTCCCACAAATTGTACATTAATGTAGAAAGTCAATTTGTCTCTGACAGACATCTATTATGTCGTAATATTTCTCAATTTTATTGAAGACAGTCCTTCCCCTTGGTAAAGATCCTCCGGCAATTACTTCCTTATGCTTCAACCATAACGGGAAGATTTTAGCAGCTGTTGCAACTGATGGAATGATTCAGATGTTCGGTATCCTTATAGCATTTGATGTTTATGTATGAATGGTTATTATATTTCTTAAATTAAGTGTTACACATTTTGCTTTTGAGGCTCAAATGCGTTGCTGTTACTATTCTTTGGTACACCAAGCAAAAATACATGAAAAATGAATCATTTTCTTTCTTTTGGGGCTTCAGAGTTGGTGGAAGGAAGGGGGGGATTAAACATTTCTACTTTGAAACGAAACTTGACCCCAATCTCATGCGCAAGACATGAGCAACAAATGTATACATCTTAATTTAGCAAAGATATGTCTGCCGGACTACAAATTACTGGGTGGCTAGCTCATGATTCTGCTATTAGCTCTGTTCTTTTTGGGCCTGATGAGACAAGTATTTTTAGCTTGGGGATAGATGGAAAGGCAAGTGCCTCTGTTTCCTCTGATTTTAGCTCGGGAAATTATAATATTTTGTTTCTATGAATTGTTTTATATAATTTTTCTTTGCCTAAAAGTCTTTTCTGTGATATGTACATGCTGTCAAGCTTCTTATACTTGTGACTTGTTTAATTGTAGGTACTTTTGGATATTGTTAGTCATTGATCTAACATTGATGATTGTATACTTGCTTAATCCGATTAATTCTAAAATAAACACAAGCCTTGAAATTGTAATAAACACGTAAGTTTAGTTGGTTAGTACATTTTTAAGCAATTTGAGTTACCTTAAAAATATTTTGACTTCTGGAATTTCTTTTGTAAAGTGCTTTGAAAATTTATGAAACTACCCAAAGGAAGAGGATGACCAATTCAGTTTGGAAAGTAGTTCAGGTAATTAATATCATTTTCCCTTTGTTGTCATGCCCATGAAGGGTTTTGATGTTATTCTGGGTATGGACTGGCTATCGTCATGCCGGGCTATTATTGATTGCTACTGCCAGAGGTTCACGGTTTGTACCTTGAGCAGGGAGTGTTTCCATTTCCTGGGGGATCGGGTTGGTAGTGTATTGCCACCGTTGTATGATCCGCGAGGACGGAGTGAGCTTAGTGGTCTACTTGCTAGCTTTATGAGTGGTGAGTGTGATGAGACTCAAATTGTATTGCCAAGGATGGTTTGTGAGTATTCAGATGTTTTTCCCGAGAATCTCGTTAGTTTACCACCCCACCGAGAGATAGAGTTCTCTATTGATTTAGTGCCCGGCACAGCGCCGATTTCTATGGCACCTTATCGTTTTGCCCCAGCCGAGTTGAGTGAGTTGAAGATTCAGCTCCAAGAATTGCTAGATAAGGGTTTTGTTCGCCCTAGTGTTTCACCGTGGGGAGCACCGGCCTTCTTTGCTAAAAAGAAAGATGGTGCCTTGAGATTGTGTATCGACTACCGAAAGTTGAATCGGGCTACGGTCAAGAATAAGTACCCTATGCCCCGTATAGATGATTTGTTTGACCAGTTAAAAGGTTCCCGTTGTTTCTCTAAGATAGACTTGAGATCGGGTTACCACCAGTTGAGGGTCAGGGAGGAGGATATTCCTAAGACGACATTCCGTACGTGGTATGGCCATTATGAGTTTCTGGTGATGCCATTCGAACTTACCAATGCACCGGCAGTCTTTATGGATTTGATGAACCGGATCTTCCAGGAATTCTGGATCGATTTGTAGTCGTTTTCGTGGACGACATTCTTATCTATTCGCCTTCTGAGGAGGAGCACAATGAACACTTGAGAGTGGTGCTTGAGTTGCTTAGAGCCCATAGGTTGTATGCCAAGTTTGGGAAGTGTGAATTCTGGCTAAGAGAGGTCAAATTCTTAGGCCATGCGGTATCCGGGAAAGGGGTGTCTGTTGATACATCCAAGGTAGAGGCAGTGCAAGATTGGGCACAGCCTAAGAGTGTGTTTGAGATCCGCAGTTTTCTGGGATTAGCTGGGTATTACCGTCGGTTTGTGAAAGATTTCTCCAGGCTAGCTTCGCCGTTGACTAGATTGACATGAAAAGGGATCAAGTTTGTGTGGAGCGAGACTTGCGAAAGGTCGTTCAAAGAGTTGAAGGTTAGATTGACCACCGCTCCAGTTTTAATTATTCTGGAGAGAGGGTTGGGTTATGCAGTTTATTGTGATGCCTCACGAGAGGGTTTGGGTTGTGTGTTGATGCAAGAGGGGAAAGTGGTAGCCTATGGCTCACGTCAGTTGAAAATACACGAGAAGAATTACCCTACACATGACCTAGAGTTAGCAGCAGTGATCTTTGCCTTGAAGATTTGGAGGCACTACCTTTATGGTGAGAGGTTCGAGGTGTTCTCGAACCACAAGAGTTTGAGATATCTGTTTACACAGAGGGACTTGAATTTGAGGCAGAGGAGATAGATGGAGTTCATTGAGGACTATGATTTTGAGTTACATTATCACTCGGGAAAGGCTAATATTGTGGCCGATGCCCTTAGTAGGAAATCCATTAGTGATGTAGCTTGTATAGCCATCCGGGAATGGGAGATGTTGGGTGCACTTGGCGAGTTTGACTTGCTTCTGAGTGAACCAGCTGAGGCTGCGGCCTTGTTTTCTGTTGTTGCACAGCCTACACTTGTGACCCGAGTGTTAGAGGCTCAGAGAGGTGACCTTGAGGTAAAATCTCTCCGTGAGAAGATTTCCGGTGGGAAGGTTGAGAAGGGTTTGACGGTGTATCCCGACCTGAGTGTGAGATACCGATGCCGTTTGTTTGTACCGGAGTCTTGCCGAGAGGAAGTACTCCGAGAGTTCCATCATTCACGTCTTGCGGTGCATCTGGGAGGCACTAAGATGTATCGGGATTTGGGTCGCCAGTTTTGGTGGCGGGGTATGAAGAGAGATGTGGCTGTTTTCGTATCGAAGTGCCTTACTTGCCAGCAAGTGAAGGCCGAGCATCAGAGGCCAGCGGGTTTGTTGCAACCCTTACCTATTGCCGAGTGGAAGTGGGAGCATGTCACTATGGACTTCGTTGTAGGCCTTCCGAGGACTCAGCGGGGTAGTGATGCTATTTGGGTGGTTGTAGACCGGTTGACTAAGTCAGCGCAATTTATTTCTATGCGCGTGAGAGATTCGGTAGATCATCTCGCCGACTTGTATATTCAGGACATAGTGAGATTGCACGGGGTCCCAGTGACGATCGTCTCAGATAGAGATTCTCCCTGCCATGGGCACTAGGTTGACCTTTAGTACGGCTTATCATCCTCAGACTAACGCGCAGTCCGAGCGTACTATTCAGATCCTTGAGGATATGCTTCGAGGTTGTGTCCTTGACTTTAGTGGGATGTGGAAGAGGCACTTGCCCTTGGTGGAGTTTGCCTACAACAACAGTTTTCAGTCTGGCATCGGTATGGCACCGTTTGAGGCCTTGTATGGCCGACCGTGTAGGTCTCCAGTGTATTGGGCCGAGGTGAGTAGTGCACCTTTGTTGGGTCCGGAGTTGGTTAGAGAGACGACAGAAAAAGTTAAGCTTATCCGTAGGAGGCTTGTTACAGCCCAGAGTCGCCAAAAGAGTTATGCCGACCGTAGGAGGAGGCCTTTGGCGTTTGAGGTAGGTGATCATGTCTTCTTGAAAATATCACCTAGGCGAGGTTTAATGAGGTTTAGGAAGAGTGGGAAGTTATCCCCTCTGTTTATCGGTCCCTTTGAGATCCTTGAGAGGATTGGCGAGGTTGCTTATCGTTTAGCTTTACCGCCGCAGTTGTCCGGAGTGCATGACGTGTTTCATGTGAGTATGCTTCGGAAATATGAGCCGGATCCATCCCATGTGTTAGATTGGACCGACTTGGAGGTAGATGAGGATGCCTCGTATGAGGAGAGACCGGTTCGGGTCTTGGATAGGCGGGATCAAGTCCTGCGTGGCAAGACCATTCCTTTGGTGAAGGTTTTGTGGAAACATCACGGAGTGGAGGAAGCCACTTGGGAACGTGAGTTGGAAGTCCGCGAGAAATATTCAGACTTGTTTGTTAATGTGTAACCATGTATTGGAATTGTTGTAATATCGTTGAACTTTAAGGGCATTATATGTGTCTTAAGTTGTAAAACATTGTGAATGTTTTGGTTAATGGAAGTTTGTTTTAACATTGCCTATATTAAGTATATTGTGGAAATGCAGGCATGATATTAATGTTGCATGTGTTATGGAATTGTGGAAAATGAGTTGAAATTGGTAAATTTCAAAGGAAATGCATGTTGATAATGCAGGTTGTTATGAATAATGTGTGTGAGACTTGCGAAAAGTCGTTCCAAGAGTTGAAGGTTAGATTGACCACCGCTCCGGTTTTGATTATTCC